CATCTGAAGTGAAAAAGGACCAAGTTTGAGTCCTTAGGTTAACACAGTGACTGTGCAAATTTGTGCCACTTTTTTTCTCTGTAAAAAGATAATTTTTTTTTTTTTTTTTTTTTTTTTTTGGAGTCTTGCTCTGTCGCCCAGGCTGGAGTGCAGTGGTGCGATCTCGGCTCACTGCAAGCTCCGCTTCCCGGTTTACGCCATTCTCCTGTCTCAGCCTCCCGAGTAGCTGGGACTACAGGCGCCCGCCACCGCACCTGGCTGATTTTTTGTATTTTTTGGTAGAGACAGGGTTTCCCTGTGCTCTCCATCTCCTGACCTCGTGATCTGCCCGCCTGGGCCTCCCAAAGTGCTGGGATTACAGGCATGAGCCACCGCGTGAGGCCGTAAAATGATCTTAATAATGGTTATCTCAGAGTTGTAAAGCTAAAATCGGTTATTATATAAGCACCACAAAAGGACTGACTCATGGTAAATGGCAATATATGCAGCAGCCATCTTTATTATAGTGAGTTATGATTAAAATATACATTGGTCGATGGATTTCTGTGTGTGTGCTACATTTAATTGACTTTTGTATAAGGAAGTTCTAATTTTATACATTTAGGAGGTATTGTAATTTTGTTTTAATTTTATGAAGTTAGAGGGGAGTTATACTTTTCTATATTCTGAAACCAATTTCATTACTGGTAATTATCTATTTCTTGGATATTTTTCCAAAGGCAACATTAAACAGTAGTGGTTAAGAACACATACTTTGGAGATAGACAGATCTGGATTCAAATCCTGATCCTTCAAATGTTAGTGGAGTGACTGTGGCCAAGTGACATTTTTATGAATCAGTTTCCTTACCTATTAAGTGAAGGTAATAATAGCATCTGCCTCACACAGAGTTAATATGAGAATTTAGTCAAGATTTAGAAAATGCTTGTTTTGTGACCATTATGAGCCAAATACTGTTCAGAGATATATATTTAAAAGACTTAACTGGAAACATAGGAAATGGTCATTGATAATTAGAACTTATTAGTATTACTGTCTACATTATTATTAAGTGGGACATAAACTATCTAGGCCAAGACATTTTACATTAGTAATTTCTGCAATTATTGTTGTAATAGTTTTATTAACTGCCTAGTTAATCAGTTTCAGCTCTGTAACAGTGTGTGAATATAACCAGCTACATAGCTTGGTAGTTTTTTTTTCTTTCCTTACAAAATCGATGCATCACATTTCTGTTGTAGTACATGGGTTAATGTATATATATACACACACACACATATATATACACACACACACACAGAGAGTCTGGAATGTAGCATGTGACAATAATTGTGATAGGAGAGTAAACGTAAAAATAGTAAGAAGTGGAAGAATAGTAAAAATTTTAAATAGTCCGTCCCTAATAATCTCTTTAAAAATTTAAAAGATGGCTAGTGCAATAATGAATGAGAGTTTACCTGATACAATTTCCAGTTGAATAGTCTGAGAGGCAATATGATGTCATTGAAAGTTCTAGGAGAGTTTTAGCAAGCAAGAGCATGAAAAGGGTCTTTTTTTTTTTTTTTTTAACAGTATCAAAAGTAATGCATGTTCTTTCAAAGAATAAGTTGGGTTAAAAGTAAGATATGCTCAGAAATAGATGAACACTAGCTTTGGAACACTAGCTTTGAATCACTAGCTTTGAAACACTAGCTTTGAAATGCTCAGCTAATCTGCATGTGGAATGGTGCAAGGCTCACCTTTCCATGTTGAAAGTTTATTTTAGGGGGTCATCAAGTTCTCTTTTTTGTGTATTTATTTGGAGAACTTGAGTATTGAATGCTTTTGCCTTGATGCTCTATCAATGCTCAGATATTGTATGCATTAACCATATATCTTCCATAATCAGTGCATTTTGGTGGTCTGTACCAATGTCAACAGAGTAGCTTGTTCAAAAAGCATTGAAATGGCTTAGCTCTTGTAACAGATTGGAAACATTATGATGTTTAAGCTAAATGATGAGTAAACAATCCATTAAAAATACTAAGCATGCATTTAAATTTATGAGATACATTGAAAGATTAAGTTTATACATCTTTCTTGAAAACTCGTAACTTCTAGGGTTTTTTACATAAAATAAATTGTGATCGCAAAGTTTTAGACAGCTGACAGAATTAATTAAAGTAGAAAATTGTATTATAATTACTTCAAAGGAATATGAAATAATTTAATTTTGACTAGGAAAGCTTATCAAAAGCTTAATGTTACCAAACCAAATTGTGCTAGGTTCACATTTGTTCATCTTGGCCCTAACTTAAATGTTTCCCACATCTCTTAGTCACCTGTCATTAAGTGTAATTGTTGGATTTTGTGAACTAATCATAGGTTATTACTTGTTAATTGCTAATTGCAGTGCAACCAAAGCTGATATTAAATGTTCTTCTCTCTTTTGTTCACATCAAAGCGTATTCTTTGATTAAGGAGAAAGAGTTTTGGGGTTTTTTTTGGTTAATTTTTCAGGGCAGCACTGGTATAAGCTTTATGATTCCTTGCATTAAGCATTCATAAAACTGTCATTCTGGGGCAGCATCTTGTATAGAATCATCACAAATTAAAAGTTATCATTAAATGCTAAACCAATGTTTATAAGTTTAGGGAGAAAGAAAAGATGGTAATACTGTATAGATTGATTTCAAATAACTAAGATAAAAATAAAACAATTTAAATAATTACAAATTATAAGTAGAAAACTTGAAATATACATGGAAAGAGAGTAGAAAAGGGTCTAAGAAGTTGTCATTATATTTTTAAGAGAGGGGTTAAATGGGAGAGAAACAAGATTAACATTAACATTTCTAATCATAATTTGGAATTGACTAAGAAAGTTGAAAAATTATAATAGAAAATTACTTCTAATGGATTAATTCATATTTTATATATCAGGAACTCTACCTATTATTATTATTATGATAAAAGGAATAGTTAATGATAGTTTATATGGTTCTTCTAAACCATATAAAAGATGTATGTAATAGTACTATGCAATGGTTTTTTTGATACAATCAAAGTAGCTACAAAATTCAGATCTATATTTACTTGATTATTGATCGTGACACATGGAACACTGGAGCTGTTGATAAGTTATTACTATTTCTTTCTAAATATTAGGTTTATTACCTTTGGGAAACTACAACTGAATCTCTCATTTCCTTGCCTATTTTAGTCACAAATGTTATTTAGTAGAAAACTCCATGACTAACCTTGTTTTGATGATTATGTATTCTTTTGGATTTGATTGGAAGCTTGAGGCACATCTTTCAAAACAGCAAGCATTGCTAAATATGATTTAAATAAATCTGTTAGCTATAAACAAAAAACATACTAGAGAAAAAACGGGATGTACACAAGGTGGGAGGGCGTGGGGTAGAGGAAAGACACTGGCTATTTCTCTGAGTGTTCCTCTCTTACAGACTCTGAAAATAGGCTGACACTCCAGAATCTCAATTCAATCTAAAAGATAGTACTTCCATTTCTGGCTCTTGAAGTTTAGCAAAGTCTGCTCTGGCCCTAATGGAGATTAGTATTTCACTTACTAGCAGTTCTAAACAACTGGACTGATTTAATGCCCGTGAAAGAGGAATTGCTGTGTCTGTCCACCCCCATCTTGGAAAACTTGTCAGTATACAAACCTCCTAAAATGGTAAGTGTCTAGAACCCCAGGATACTCTCATCTGGCCCCTACTGCTTCCAAGGGATATTGAAGACTCTACAGAAGGAGTAGCATGACGTGGTTGAAAGCTCTTAGTTTGGAACCAGATAGACCTAGATTGAATGTAACTAGATTGATGTTTTAGCTATGTGACTTCAGAAAAGTACCTACTTGCTTTGCGTTTTAAACATCCTCAACATGGAGATTGTTAGGCTGGCAAATTGAGTTATTGTGAGAATTAAAGGAGTGGAGGTCTGAAAAGTACTTGATATTTTACTTGGTATATACAATAGTGAGGATGTTAGTATCTCTCTTTTTCAAAGAGACTTACTAAGATCACAGCTTAAACAAACTGCAACCTCTTGTAAGCATGTTGGACTTCCTCAGAGGAGCAATGGTATAGTTTAGCACACAAAATCCAGAATTGGACTGTTTGAAAAATCACAACTCTGATACTTATTAGCCATGTGATTTAGGACAAGCTTTTGAGGCTCAGCTTCCTCATGATTTAAATGAAAATAATCATACATATTCATATGTAATATTGCCTATAAAGTGCTTAGAAGGAGTGCCTGATACATGGCAAAATCATTGTCATTATCCTCATCATGTATCTGCTGCCAAATCCTGCCCTTCTGGAATATCCATGCTCATTTCAGAGCTCTGACACTGGTATTACCAAACACTGAATAAGTTAGGTATGGTTTCCACTTGGCCTTAGAATGATGTTTGTGATTAATCTCTCAGTGAATTTTTACCTTCTCTATTAGGTTTAGTTCATGTTTATTTTAAAAGAGTGGACATGTTTGGCAGGGGAAGTGTATCAATTGAATGCAAGATCACAATAGTATATTAATCTTGCTGTGATATTTAATACTTAAAGATTTATCAGATATAATCAGAGTCCACCAAATAATTCTGCTAATCAGAAGAGACATGGCCTCCCGGTATGTCTCTTGCTTTTTGACTATTGTCAGCTCAGACTTTTAAGTAGATGTCTTTTGTACTCCAGTAGATGACCACTAATGAGTTTTTGCTTCACTAAATGATATTTCACAAACACTGTCCCTTATTCAGGAGATTCAATGCCCAAACCTATCCTTAAGTTCTCAAAGTTATTATCTCCAAACAATATAGGATATCAATTATTTTGGGATGGGGAAAGCAAGGAAACAGCTAACCAGGCAGAAGGAACTACAATGGGCCTGAGATGGGTCAAAACATGAGACATTTATGGAAATGAAAAGCCAGTGTGATGGAGCAGTAAGAAAGAGAGAGAGAAAGTGTGTTTGTTTGTTTGTTTGTTCGGTCAATGGCTGCTAAGTTGACATTCCTCGAGGTATTTATTCCTTGCACTGTCTTTACTGAGCTAAACATCCACAAGTCTCTTCCAAATATTCTCTTGCTCTTCCAGGTGAACAATGGGAAGGAATGACCTCAAAGAGCCTCCAGTGGTTACTGCTCTGGAGAAGTTACAAATGAACTTTTATCTCAAGTTCAAAATGTCCATGAGTTATTTGAATTTGAATACTTTGTGTGTTTTTGGCTTCAAAATTCCTGGCCAAATTTCAGGGGAAATGCTCTTTTAACTTCATTTGTTTAAAATTTTTCTGAAAGTAGAATTGGATAAAGAATCCTTCCTCTTTGGCCGGGCGCGGTGGCTCAAGCCTGTAATCCCAGCACTTTGGGAGGCCGAGACGGGCGGATCACGAGGTCAGAAGATCGAGACCATCCTGGCTAACACGGTGAAACCCCGTCTCTACTAAAAAAATACAGAAAACTAGCCGGGCGAGGTGGCGGGCGCCTGTAGTCCCAGCTACTCGGGAGGCTGAGGCAGGAGAATGGCGTGAACCCGGGAGGCGGAGCTTGCAGTGAGCTGAGATCCGGCCACTGCACTCCAGCCTGGGCCCTGGGCGGCAGAGCGAGACTCCGTCTCAAAAAAAAAAAAAAAAAAAAAAAACCTCCCTCTCATTTGAAGTGATGGGTTGACTGCCTGGAAGACTGCATTTTGGGACACAGGCATTGAACCCTGTTCATCTGCTCTTCTGAGTGAACAGGAAGGTGAAAAGGTCAAGGGTGAAAACTTTGCATTCTTCTACTAATTTGAGGAGGGTTCTTGAAAAACTAGTCAAGTGATTTTGAACAGCACTTTTAAGGCAGAAATTTTATGGGTAACTCTTTACTACATCTTGAGATAAAAGGGCTCTCTGGAGAAATAAGTTAACAAGACATTCCACCACACAAAGAAACTAAACATGTAACATTAATTTAGAAATATAAGCACAGAATGATGAATCTTTTTTGACATTGTAGAAGTAAGTGACTTTTGAAAAATATGTGAGTCCCTGTTGATTCCAGAAGTCTTTTATATATTGCATTTCATAAAGCACATTGATGAATGACACTTAGGAATAAACAATTAGATGAATGTCAAGTTGCATACTGTTAGGTTCTACATATATTCAACAATTTTCTGTTCTCTGATTGGAAAATTTTTAGAATGTGCTTCACCATCTATTTTTCAATTGCTTTATTTGTGCAAATAATATATTTTACTTTTGTTATGCATTATTCCATAAGCTAGTTTTATATCATATACAAATATTTTGAATAATACCTGTACATGTTCATATATAATTTGCACATGTTAATATCTATAAAGAGTCCACATATTTATATCTGTATCTGCATTTGTTCATAAAAGGATCTGTCTTTGTAAAATCCCTTCCTGGTCCATGTGCACGTGCTGTTTTCTCTGCCTGGAAAATGCTAAATGTTCATTATTGATTTCTTTTCATCTTCAGCTTCTCAAGGAGGCTTTGCTTAATTATTCAGTTCCTCTCATGATATCCTTACTCTTTGCCTTCTTGAAAATTAGCATGCTGTATATGCTACAATAAGTTTTAATGTATAACAAATAATGTGAGACTTAAGCTTCATAATGACAGTAGCACCATCTGGTTTGTTAACCATATTTATCCAGAACTTAACAGAGTGCCAGGAGTATAGTAAAAAGTCTGTGGTTTTTGAATAAGTACATAAATATTGGTGAATACTAAACTTCATGTGTTATGGTAGTTCCAAAATTTTAGTGTCATTTATGCCAGAAAACCATGCAATTGAGGAAAATAGATGTATATAAATACAACCAACAACATACATTTTATCAGTTTTGAGTCATGGGATGAGTGGTATGGTGTTTTACAAAATTCACTGCAGCTAAAAGATACTTGATAAATATTTTTCTGAAATTACTTCATTTTTGTGGTGGTATTACTGTTTTGTGAAGATGAAAAAAGTTATAATCATCAGGAATTTCAGCCTTAGAAATTCCATATTCTCCTCTGTTGTGACAAAAATCACACACATGAACATAGATTTATTTTTGATGGCTACAGGAATTATTACTTATCACTTCAGGGATAATAGAGCCTTGCTGATTCTTTAGAAAATATTCATTGGTAAATGCATTTCTATGCCCATATGCACACATTTTTTTCCTAAGGATGTCAGACAGCTAGTCCTGGACTAGAAGTCAGTAAGAAAGAGAAAATGAAAAGGCAAAAGTTAGCACTGTCAGCTTTTCTCTTGGGATGCATTTCAAGGTAGCGCTCTACTTGAGGCTTACGAAAACTAACATAGCATCATTAGAAAGTCAGTCCATCAAACACACTTGAAAACATTTCCTCACTCTTATTTTTAGGTTGCAAATCGTGATTCACAAAAATAATTAAAAAAATAATATTCCTTCCAAACTGATCTTTCCATTCCCAGTTTACTGTATGTAGCTTATAGCTTATACCAATGGAAGCACTGAAAAAAACTTACATTAATCTCTTGATATGTTTTCACATCTTTTAAGGACTGTTTTAAATACAAAGGTTCATTTTGTTTTACCTATAACCGAGTTACTAAGGTTACATTTGCCATGCAGAGGACTAAAATTACAATCCAAGGATGTTCTGTCTATTTGTCTGAAAAATGTTGGAATTTGTGCTATGGAAATTTGGAGCATTAGAGTTAGATTGTAATTATATAGTCAGCTCTCCTGGAAAATGATGATCCTAGGATATAACAAGTAAATGAAATCCACAAATAATCCCAAAGCTCTTTTATAGGAAAACCTTTTTACATAAAAAATGTCGACAATTAGCAGAATTCATTGAATGTTCCTTTCCGGTTCAGTTCCTGGTGGAGGTAATATCAAAGAGTGCAATGGCCCAAAGACAAGGATTCAGGCAGATGCAGAAAAAACAAAGATTATGGTTTTAATCAGCACCTGAAACGCAATGTTTATTGCACATAGTTTCCTGAATTACTATACAATGTGACTGTACAAGAAAAAGTAATTTAACCCTCCAACAAGGGTCTGCAAAGCAACAATAATTTTTAAATATAAAAAAATGAACAAAAACAAGTAATCCGCATCTGATCAGCTCACTGCACTTTGGAAAAAGCTTAACTTAAGCCAGTGTGGTGCTGAGATTTTCATGCAGCAACCTAAAGAATTTGTTATGATGCCAGACCACTAGGCTAACTATCTAAATGGAAAGTATTACCTGTGAAAAATTAAGAAGGTTGCATAGGCCACCAAGTCAATGCCTATTTCTTGTTCTGTTTGATTTCTGCTCATTGATTATTCATGGAGAAAAATAATAAAAGACATTGTTTACACATAAGGACACATTTAAAGGCAACTATTTCAACTTCATAGTAGTTGTTGTCTCAGCGGATGGAGATATAGAATTAATTATCTCAATGAGATGGCTCTGATTCACAAGAGGCTAAGGTAACTTTATTTTATTCTACAGCTATTGTGATATCATGCAAGCATATGCTATTTGGAACCAGGGGAAGTACCACGAAAAGGCTTGCTGATATGTCTGTACCCATAGTCACACTGGAGGACTTCATAATGGTTTGAGAATGTCTTCTCAAATACTACGTAAAGAATAATCCAGTATTGGCTCATTTCGTGAAACGAAATAGAGAATATCTTAAAATACCAGTATCAAGGTTATTACCCCATTCAAAGATCCAGCAGCCCATCACTTAGTGGACTAAATTCATCTTGACATTGTTTTGATTTTTGATTTGGTTTCGTCTAAGGAGAGACAATGAGGAAATAGAAGCACTGAAGTATTTTGATGTTATCACTGGAGCTCAAGATCTGTCCATCCTTTTTCTCACTTTACCACCACGAAATCCTACATACCTGATAAGGCAAGGGCTCTTCCCAACAATGACAAGCCCTTCCATCAGAGGTTCTGCTTTCTTGGGAAGGAACATACATAGTTCACAAAAGGCTTCACAGATTACTGATACTTCAACCTAATGCAAAGTCCTCTTTCTCTTCCTAATTTGGAGAATCCCTGATTTAAAAACATAATAAAATCTTAGAGTTTATTTTTTAAATTTTGAAGGAAATCTAAGAGAGACTCAAATTCAAACGTAGGCACCTTCAATGTGTTTCAGAAAACTCAACTAGTAATATCTTTCTAAGTTTTTTCTGTGAGAACTGCTTTACCTTACATTTAGGATTTCCCTAGAACCATAAGATTGAGATGGGAGTGGACATAGATGTTGTCTAATCAAGGATGCGCTGCCTTAGCATAATCAATGGGAGAACCACTTATCTTACAGTTGAGCACAGCTAGATTTTTTCTCTTGATCCAAGTCATAGATAGATGCTCTGACTTTGGTCAAGTCTCAGCTTTTCTGAGCTTTAGCTTCCCCATTTACAAAATAGATACCCTGCTTCACAAGTTGTAAAGATTAAAAATGTGACTAATAGCAAAACTGAAATGTCTATATAATTCAAACAATATTTTAATTAACTTCCATCAAACTACAGTGAAGCTAAACATTGTTTTTCAAAGGGGAGGATAATGATAATAATTGTATTAATAATAATAATGCTAATAGCTCACAGGAACTGTGTAACCATTACGTGTGCTAAGAACTTTGTATGCATTATCTCATCAAAAGAAAATTGGAGCATGATGCAGGTGTTCTGAAATTAAATAATGGTGATGGTTGCACAACCTTGTGAATATATACTAGAACCACTGAACCATGTACTTTAAAAGGGCAAATGTTATGATATCTGAATTATATCTCAATTTAAAAAAATCAGATGTGAAAGAATATTGGAAATTTGCAAAAGTAAAAGTATTCTGGGAAGTGCTGTGAAGGATACAATGAGTTATACACCAGTCTTTTTTCCTACCCTAAAGTTGTTTTAAATATGTTTGAGAAGTTGAAATGGGCACATAAAAGCTAACACCTAAGGCAGTGTGTGGAGGAGGACTGGCACAGGCTTACAAAATTTTATTAGAC